TATTGAATTTGGACCCAGAGTTTGCATTGGTGTTTTTCCAGAGTCAGCAGAGTCTAGAAGAGTTTCTGCTGCTAATTTCTGCTGTTGCATCTTAAGTATGTTCAACAACATCATTGGATTGACTACAATATCTTTCAAAGGAACAGGAACAGAAACTGTGTTACCAGAAGCAATCGTGGATACTGGCTCATTTCCAGTAAGTGTTGAACTAGGTCTAGTAACAGGCATACCAGAACAAGTTGCTCCGTTATCTGTCTTCTTGAGGAGAGATTCTGCATTGCCTATCAAATTACTTTGATTTATAGTTTGAGTGCTAACTGTATCAACTTCCTCCAACCAGCCACCAGTTCCAGATGCACTTTGTGCATCCCAATTACCTCCAAAACCTTCCAATCCATTCTTCTGCTTTTTCAGCGCAGGGCCATCAATAAAAGGCTCCTCAAAACTCTTTTGCTTTCGTGTATTCAATAAAGCTCCAGCAGCCTCCATCTTTGGTCCATTAAGTAATGCATGTGGCAGATGTTGGTTCAGATCTAAAGCAGGCACATCAGAATTGCCAACCCGAAGCCTAGGATCTCGGCTCCTTGCTGGCCCTCTCACTGTTGGATTAGTCCTAGAATTAATAAGAGGAGCATTTCTAGTCATAGCCAGCCCTTGGGCACTGGTACTTTCCATGCCCGGAAGAGTAGAAACAATTGGCTGCCCCATAATGGGAACATTAGCAGGTTTTAACTTCGCAGAAGCAAAGGAACTAGAAACCTCTCCCCCAGTTTCATCAACCCCATCCCTGGATTCTTCTGAAGGTGTCGGACTTGGAAGTCTATCTTTAAGAAAGAAAGAAGTATGGCCAAATTTTTGCTGATAGCTAGAAACAGCTTTGAGAACATCAGTTTCATAAGGACGCATTTTAATATCTTCTGTATCTGGTACCACCTTATCCATGACAACTCCTGATTCATCCATCCCATCTCCAACAGATAACATCCTTTTTTCTGGTAAAGATGGCTCCGTTTCTCGTGTAGGTGAGGGAAGGCTGTCCACATCATGATCCTTGTGAAGGTCTAGCAAGGGGAGCAAAGCCCCTTTGCTCCTAAAACCAGCTCCTGCAGGCTTCAAGGCTTCTGCTATGTTCGGCTTATAATTAACTAGATTTTCGCCAGTTGAATAGATATTACTGGTAGATTTAGCTAAGTTATCAGAATTTATCTTTTTCATGCCATCCATATCTCTTTTTTCCTCTTTATCAGTGGCCCTCACATTTGATGAAACATCAAGGGAGTTAACATAAAGCATCATTTTCTCTACCTGTGTATAGACAGATACATGATTATCAAATATCAAAGAAAAATATTCCAGCTCACGGCCTAATTGGCAATTATATTAATACTGATAAATTTGAAATTATTACACTCACCTCTTTTATCTTATCGGCGGAAAAAATAGGAGGATTATGGCTCTTTACAAGAAAAAGCAACCTGTCACCAAAAATGCAAGAAAAGAGATTACCAAACAATGGTGCCAATCAACTTCACAGTACGATAAGATGAGCACGTGGAAAATCAAAAACCTCAAAAAAGCGTCCTTATTTTGTTCCTTTATATTATCGTTCATGGAGTAAAACACCTGCAGAATAAGCATCATTAAGTCCTGTAATGCTAAATCAGAAGATTTTAGTAAACAAGAGTACGGTATAGTCATATATGAATCAAGTAGGCTGAAAAATTTAGGTTGCTTTACAGATTGGACAATCTGAATTGCAGTAAATGAATGCTGAATCAGAGTATCCTTTGTTGGACCACAATTCAGCACAACTAATCCCCGCAAGCTCTCCAAAGCGTTGCCCAGTCTGGTACAAACTCCCTCAAATGATCTACAGAACATACACCAACAAAGTCAATCAATTTTAAAACACTCTATCAACTAGAGCTGAATAACATTCATCCATTTCCAAAAGATCTCAGGTTATCAGCAACCCAAATCACGTACTTCTCGACTTCAATTGAAGTGATACTCTCTAAAACCTCGCGCATCGATTTCATTTGCTTCTCCAATTCATCCGATTCCTTATTGGCCCCAAAAACGTTGCTGACATTCATGGCATCGTCTCTCGAAGCCACTTCTTGAGCTTCACCTGCCACCTTCTCAAGTGGCTCCGAATCCAAATCAATCTCACCTTCCTCCAACTCCCCCTCCTCCCTCTCAGTATCAGCATCCTTTCCCACCTCATCGCCACTATCATCAATCACAACCCTGGTATTCTCTTTACTATTCACGGAGGCAACTAAGAATGTGGCCGACGATCGCTTGGAATTTTCATCAGGCTCAACATCCATGACCAGAACATCATTGAGTGGCTTATTCTGCACAGCCTGTGCCCAAGCCAGATTATACAAACCGGAGGCTGCATACCCGCGGCAAATCGGGTACTTATGCAACAGATCCCGCATCGTCCAAACCCTACCATCCCTTCCTCCTTCTCCAGCAGATATTGGTTTCGACTCTTTCAAATTCTTACTCTCCTGCTTGTTAAAATCCTCCTCACTGATCTCCTCCACCGAAGCCGTATCAGAAATTTCACCTTCCTCCACATCTTCAACCCGATTCTGTACCTTGCCCATTTCGCCTTGGGTCCGGTTATTCCACTCGAAACAACAATTAGATCCAGTAACAAGCATATATGCAACAAATGATGGTAACAATCAAACGAACCCTTGGAAATTCACGGTTTTGAAAACAAAATCCCCTTTCTTCTAGAGCAGATCTTACAATCAAGCAGAACGAGAGCCGCCGAATTAATTTAGGGTTTGCTCGTTTTTTCCATTCTTTTATTTTCCTATTAATAACTCAATATATTATGAGTATTAGAAAAAAAAATTATAAACAAAAAGAAGACAGAGATATCCTGATCTAAGATCTGAGCATGTCAAGACTGTGATCCACAACTTTGAGAATTTCCTTCCTATCGAAGTTAAAGAGGAAGAAGAGAGTAGGTAAGACGGAGGGACAACTTAAAACCGAGTAAAGCATGGAAGGACGCCTAGAGAGAGGGTTTTATGGGAAACGGGAGGATAATCTCCCATTCATTTTGTAATCTGAACCGTACACGTGGTGATTCGCGGAAAATTCGTGCCGTCGTGATTCGTGATTATTTCCAATTGCAATTCTGCAATTGGTACATGGTTTAATGCCTTTGTTTTTTTTTTTTTTTTTTTTGTTTTTATAAATGATTAGATTAGTTTTACTTATTATAATTTACTAATATTTTTGTATAATTTAATCTTTCATGTTTTTAAAAAAATTAAAAAATTAATTAAATTAATACTACTAAAAAATAAGTGTAGAATTATTATTAATATTTATCAATTTAATTAATTAGTTATAGTTATTTTTTGAGTTATTTTTTAAGATATCCAAAGATAATTTAATTATTTTTATATTTTCTGTTAGAAAATAAAAAAAACCAAGCATTTAAAATAATGAAAAAAATTATGAATCAAATTAAACAAAAAAAATTATGGATCATATCATAACAAATATCAAACCTAAACTAATTTTGGTAATTTGTTATTTTTCTTTGTAATTATATATTTATCTAATAGAATGTTCATAACTTAATTGATTTTTAATCCAAAGGTGTAGGATTGAAAACTTTAGTCTAACCCAGTCCAATTCCTTGCCTGATTCAGTCCAGTCCCTAATCTGACAAATTCCATAAAAAATTAAATATTTACTATTGATTTATATGATTAAAATTATTATTTGCTGTACTAATTTAATACAAATGAAATAGTTATAATTTATGACTTTATTGTTTCTTTAAATTCTATTAATTTTAATAACTTTTTTAATTTAAAAAAATAATTTAGAAAAACTAATCCAACTCAACACAAAAAAGTCTAAATTGGACCAAATAAATTTTGGTTGGATCTTCCATTTGAAGTTAGAAAACTCAGACAATTTTGGTCTAGTCCAGTTCAATTTGGTTTCAACTCCAATTTTAAATAGATGGATATTCATACTTTCATAATATGTACATTAAGATCTTTCTTATTAAAATGTGTAATAGTCACATGTGTCCATTTTTTATATGCCTAGGAGTAAAAAATGTCTTTTTCTTTTTTTTTTTAGAAAGATAAAAAAGATGTCATTTTCTTTATCTCTTTCTTTCCTGATTTTTCGTTAAATGATAGATTCTTTCCCATACATAACTAATTAGAAAGGTATTGTTTTCTTTCTAGATTACATTTTTTACTAAAGAATTGATAGGTGTCAAATCTACTAAAAATAAATTCTTAATTAACCAATAAAATAATATTGTAGTAATGATAAGAATGGTCGAATCCATAGGAAATTAGAAATTAATTTTCTTCCTTAACCAACAAATGAAAAGCAAACAAGTAGAGTTTTGTAGAATTCAATATGCAAAATATAAAATAAACAATGAGCATAATAATATCAGACAAACTCTTGGTTGTAAATAGACTAAAGCAATTATAAAAATGATTCTTAGTTAACGAAATTGTTAACTCTAATATTGTAATTGATCATAAACATAAGGATTCGTTTCATCCAAAATATGGCAAATTAGTTATAGTTATCAGAAACGTTCTAACAACCAATTCTTCCTTATTCCTAAACCAACAAAAAAACATTCATTAGTTGGTTTTTTGTTGTCAAGCAGCCTTGGGAATGCCCACAGAATTTAATTTGTCAATGATCTTGAGAGTTAGAATGACCTAATTTAAGTTACTGGATTCATTTGTGTGAACCAGTCAACCAGATTACTTACCTCCTCAATGTGGCACTGATCGCTACTTGGTGCCACAACCACTCACAATTACGAATTTGAGAAATTCGACTAGCTATTTGCAGTTTCTCTTCTAGTATGATGGGTTGTGTCCAAACATATTCAAAACAACAAATATATATAGGTGTACGAAGTAAATAAATATCAACTCTAAAATAAAATCTAAATCAATTTAATTAGATCTTATAAATTCATTGCTGGAGTTTGTTAAATCTATCAACTAGGAAAAGAAAACAAATCAACCACTCATGGTGGACTTTTTAACATAAATGAGTTCTTGAAGAGTACAAAGTAGAAGAAAGATAAAGAAGAAAAATTGCAGACGCAACAAAAGTTGTTGTGTGTGGCGTCAGGAAGAAGAGAGATGTCATTTTACTCATCGCAACTCACTTTTTATCCCCCAAAAGGGCTAGGGTTTCCCTTTTCTCCCCATTTGCAATATTTTCTTATTTTTAGCACATCTCTAGCTTTTCCAGATTGATCTCCATGATTTTCTATCTGCAAATCTAGGACTGAATATGATCTATTTTTAAATTTTAAACGCGTACCTTTTTCCTTTTTAAATTGACTGTTATGCACAGCTCTTAACTTTGCCTGAGGCTAAACTGTCTGGAATAGAACCCGAGCCTTGCCCAAGGCTTATTTCTGTATTGATGATCCACTTCACGAATTGTTCCTCTCGTTATGCTATTTTTTCTTGTCTTGCCCATGTATCCTATACTACAACAAAACACATAAAATAACTTGGATTATATAACGTACCATCAATTTTAATAACCTAAAAATAAATAATAATGATGTTGTTTTCAGACATTATCAAACTCCCCCGAACTCATCATGTGCTTGCCCTCAAACACAACATAGTACACTCCACAAGTCATCATTCCTTCACCTTTAACTCACTTACTCCCAATCATTTCATCACAACCTGCATGTTATATCTCAACCCTCAAGTTCTTAAAATAACCATCGGTTAATAATTCGTGAACTTGAGTTTTATGGACCCACACCCATAAATAATCATTTTGACAACATCTAAACACGATATGGGAGAGTATTGTAATTTTTCCTTATAAAAACAAGTCAAGAGGAACAAACAACACACAATAGAACAATTACCGAACTTGTCTAGATATAAAGGTTTCATGCAATCTGTCCATGCAGAAAATAGAAAACTTATATATAACTTACTTGAGCATTTATTGCTTGCTTGATATACCACTAACCTTTTGATGTGAGAACAAATAATTGTGATGAATGACACCAGTTATTCAGTTGGTCATAGTTTCAAGTGATTACTAACGCTACTCATAATGCTTTGAAATGTCACTAACCTTTTGATGCGAGTACAAATAATTATGATGAATGACTTTGGTTACTTAATTAGTCTTATTTCAAGCGATTAGAGGAATAGATTATTATGCATGTTTTTTTTTTCTCTCTCTCTCTTTTTTAAATATGAACCCCATATTTCTAAACATGCAAATCCAGATGGGTTACAGTAGAGTTCTTTTCTAGATGTTGGCATTCCCTCAAAGATAAGAATAATTTGATTTTGAACAAGTAATACTCAAGTATGTCATGTTTAAAATACATAACCAAAAGTAACTATTCTAGGTAAGGAAGATGAAAAACAATTATTGTTCCTAGAGGATGGTTATAAGTGCAATTTAAATTTTGAGTTGCTCCATCTGAGTTGTTTAAAGACAATAGGGAGTCAAGAATTGCCCAACATGGGATTCGGAAAAAAAAAGAAAAAAAATTGCCTACAATGCAGAATGTGGCTTCCCCCACACTTATCACATATTGTCCTCAATGTGATGTAAAAAATGGAAAAGAAAATAAAAGGACAGAGTACTCCCCTGACTTCGTTTCTTGGATGTGGTGTGTATGAGGAAACAGTCTATGTTTGAAATGATTCTGCATTCTGGTTGGGAGCAAGGTGACTTAAGCTTTGGGCAAGGCTTATGTAAACACTTTAGAGTTTGAAATGAGTTGATCGATTAACAGTCTCTCCCCTGGTGAGTTGGGATGATTGATAGTTTACGGACCACATCATAATGTGCCTTCTCCTCTCCGTTTTCAAATCTTAGGTGCCCCTAGAGTTTGAACTCTGTGACTTGGTGGAGGGGTTGGCCCTATCAGACTCGAGTCCTCTTTAGTTCTTCAATAGTTGTGGTCGTAAGGGCTAGTGATGTAAAGGTTGGGTTGTCTGGGGTCAGAGGAGAGTCAAAGATGTCAATGACTGGGCTTCAAGTCTTCAATTTGGAACTCAAGGGGGCGGTGTTTGGTGGAGGTTACTCTTAGGTTAGGGCCTGAGGAGT